ATACTTCATACTTGTCACCTCTCACCAACAACTCAACTAATTTTATAGGGTATTTGTTACCTCCCACCATCAATAGATACCAAATAAATTTGTACACCAAGGCTAAGACAAATAGGAAGAAATCGCCTAGTGATTTTATCTATGTAATAATTTGAACCTCGTTTTGGAATTCACACAATATCCAAAAGAGTCCCAAAAAGGAGTATCAAAAGGTTAACATTTGCTAATCATCAGATCATATTATATTATATATATATAATAGAGAACCTTAGGCTCGTCTACGTGTCGACACCACAAACCAGAATTCTCTTTTAATTTATTTATTTACAAAATTAGTCTTCTCTTTTATGAAGAGTTGCGACTTTAATGAAGAGTTGTGACTTTTATGAAAAATTGTGATTTTTATGAAGAGTTGCGATTTTAATGAAGAGTTGCGACTTTTATGAAAAGTTATGACTTTTATGAAAGGTTGTGACATTTCCAAAGTGTTGTAACTTTTCCAAATAGTTGTAACATTTTTGATAAGACACAATAAACATTTGTCCACACTACCCTTTGTTGTCAATAAATAGAGGGATTTCCTTTCATTTTAACACAACGAAAATTCTGAACCTCTTCTTCTTCTTCTTCCCAATTAAATATTTGTATACTTTGATCATGTTTAGTGGCTCACTGACACTATTGTTTATGTTACAGATCCTGATATGCATTTTTACAATCATTAATTTATAATTTATGCTTACATTATTAAGCTAAATGATAAGATGTAGGAATTTTCATTTTTTTTTACATTATTAATGTTTGTTACTACGTAATCTTATATGTAAGATAATATAGTGTTTTAGTTTTAATGACTGATATGTTTTAAGTATTATTTTATAAATTTTGTGATATTAAATTCACGCACGAAACGCGGGTAATTTTACTAGTATATATATAAAAGAGAACTGCAGGCCCGCCTACATGGCGCCACCAAAATACAGGATTCTCTTTTAATTTATTTATTTTCAAAATTAGTCTTCCCCTTTCATAAAATTTGTGACTTTTATGAAGAGTTGCGAATTTTATGAAGAGTTGCAACTTTTTTGAAGAGTTCGTGATTTTTTTGAAGAGTTGTGATTTTTATGAAGAGTTGCGACTTTTATGAAAAGTTGTGACTTTTATGAGAAGTTGTGACTTTTATGAAAAGTTGCGACTTTTATGAAAAGTTGTGACCTTTCCAAAAGAGTTGTGACATTTCTGATAAGACACAATAAATATTTGTTCACACTACCTTTTGTTGCTTATAAATATAGAGATTTCCTCTCATTTTAAAATAACAAAAAATTTGTACTACTTCTTTTGCTCTTGTTGAGTGACTCACTTCACCATTGTTTTTTGTATCAATACAATGACGAATAGAATCGTCATATCCTGAGAGAATCTATTCCTTTAAATCTTGAATACTAGAGGGGAATAATTTTCCTAAGGGTACACTATGCATTTAGTGAGCTCAACTTTTTCCTTTCTATTTCATTCTATTGTTACATATCTTGATTTTTTTTTCACAGTCATTAATTTATGCTTATTTTATTAATTATTGTTTTTGAGTATATCTTTTAAACTTTGTTGTTTATGTTTCTTGAAAATTATTATTATAAGTATTTATTAGTATAGATTAAATAACACACGTTAATTGAGTATTCATGCAAGTTTTCTCTACTAAAACTGTTGAAAGTAGAGTAAAAGAATTCCTTAAAAATCTGTACTACCATATCTTGAAGACAAAATTCAAATTTGATATGTCATTGTAAACACATAAAGAACTTAAAAACTTTATCGCACCTTGATGTGCGAAGTGAACCAGGAAAAGAAGACAAAAAATTAATAAACTTTTGACATAAGTTCAAGGATGTGCCGGATGACCTATAGAGGAATATGACTAGACTGCAACATCTTTTAATCCCAAAGAAATAGATAACTACACAATAAATTAATTGTTCATATTTAATATGAAGTATGGACAGATTTCTCAAGTTTACTGCAAGTTGTAAATATTTTCTTGAAGTAATAGATGTGTTTTCGACACTGTGTGGAATAGAAGTGTATTTCAAATTGAACTTCATCACTCTAGTATATTAATTTTTAAAAAACAACCAAACAAACTGAATAGTTTTGTGTAATATTTTTCCCTTTCAAGTATATATAATGAGTTGAATTGTTGTCCAATATGATACATTTTCCATTTAATTTTCATTTTAATAATTACTTACGATACATTTAAATGGGAACTTCAAAATGATATATGTAAAAAAAAAAGATAGTGCTGAACTTTCTACACGCTAGAATTGGAATTTATTTATCTCTACACCAACAATTATTTATTTATTAGAATATTTAATATTACCAGTTTATGCACTTGATTCCTCAAAAATGTTGAATAGTAACACTTCCTGGAAGCAAAATGAAAAATTATAAAATCAAATTAAAGATGATTGATTGAAAGATAAATGATAAAATGTTATAATTATCACTTCCTTTGTAATGTTTTACTTTAAATGACTAATATGTTATAAGTATTATTTTATAAATTTCGTAACATTATATATATAAAAGAATGTTTTAGTGGCAACATTCGTCGCTGCGAATGCCTATAATAGTTGCCACTAAAAGAATGTTTTAGTGGCAACATTAGTTGCTGCAAATGCCTATAATAGTCGCCACCAAAAGTACGTTTTAGTGGCAACATTAGTAGCTGCTAATGCCTATAATAGTCGCCACTAAAAGAATGTTTTAGTGGCAACATTAGTCGCTGCGAATACCTATAATAGTCGTCACTAAAAGTATGTTTTAGTGGCAACATCAGTCACTGCTAAAGCCTATAATAGTCGCCACCAAAAGTATGTTTTAGTGGCAATATTAGTCGCTGCTAATGGCTATAATAGTTGCCACCAAAAGAATGTTTTAGTGGCAACATTAATCGCTGCTATACACTAATAGTCGCCACCAAAAGTATGTTTTAGTGGCAACATTAGTCGCTGCTATACATTAATAGTTGCCACTAAAAGTATGTTTTAGTGGCAACATTGGTCGCTGCTAATGCCTGTAATAGTCGCCACCAAAAGTAGGTTTTAGTGGCAACATTAGTTGCTGCTAATTTTATTATAGTCGCCACTAAAAGTATGTTTTAGTGGCAACATTAGTCGCTGCTAATGCTTATAATAGTTGCCACCAAAAGTATGTTTAGTGGCAACATTAGTCGCTGCTAATTCCTATAATAGTCGCCACTAAAAGTATATTTTAGTGGCAACATCAGTCGCTGCTAATGCTTATAATAGTCGCCACCAAAAGTATGTTTTTAGTGGCAACATTAGTCGCTGCTAATGCCTATAATAGTAGCTACTAATATTTTGTTTTAGTGACAAGATTAATCGCCGCTAATACCTATAATAGTCGCTACTAAATGATTGTTTTAGTGGCAACATTAGACACTGCCAATGCCTATAATGCCGCCACTAAAAGAATGTTTTAGTGGCAAAATCAGTCGCTGCTAATATCGATAATAGTCTCCACCAATAGTTTGTTTTAGTGACAAGAGCTCACTTGGACAAAACTTTCGTCCTTTTAATGTTTTTCTTTTTTTCCTTCTCATTCAACTCTTCTAAATATTTTTTGTGTGAGTTATTACTATTTTCGGCAAACTTAATTTGAAGAGTATAAAACAAAACCTTCTCTAAATAAAAATAATATCTTAAACTACAAAAGATATGTCTATTAACATAGATTTGTTGTCCTTTATGTCCTAAGTTATTTCTGAGCATTTGAATTATCTAGGTTTGACTCATTTTTAATTTTTTAATGTTCGAGAATATTTTTTTAACATGAGTCTAGAATTCAACATTTTGATCTACTTGTACTTTCATAATGCTATTAGAAGGGCTTTCAAAACAGCAGTTTAATAAAGAATGAATTTCTAAAAAGGTCAACAATATTATTTTGCTGTTGTTCCAAATTAATTTTTCTCCTTCTATAAATTTTGTTAGAGTAACAAAGTAACAATAACGAAAAGTAGTGAACATTTGACCTCAGCCAAATAGATTGTCACTAAAAAGCTTCTCTAAATAAAAATAATATCTTAAACTACAAAAGATATGTCTATTAACATAGATTTGTTGTCCTTTATGTCCTAAGTTATTTCTGAGCATTTGAATTATCTAGGTTTGACTCATTTTTAATTTTTTAATGTTCGAGAATATTTTTTTAACATGAGTCTAGAATTCAACATTTTGATCTACTTGTACTTTCATAATGCTATTAGAAGGGCTTTCAAAACAGCAGTTTAATAAAGAATGAATTTCTAAAAAGGTCAACAATATTATTTTGCTGTTGTTCCAAAATAATTTTTCTCCTTCTATAAATTTTGTTAGAGTAACAAAGTAACAATAACGAAAAGTAGTGAACATTTGACCTCAGCCAAATAGATTGTCACTAAAAAGAATTTATTTATGTTGTTGTGGTGTACATTTTTAACGGTCTTAACGTATTTATAACTAATATTGATTATCGAAAACTTTTACATAAATTTTTTTTTCAAGGAGTTATTCTAACCATAAAATTATCTGATTCTATATTTTTCATCTACAAAAAAATAAAAAAATTATGTTTAATCGCTACATAAAAACATCACTTAATTTTAACACAATTATATCATCAAACATATATTATGATAAATTATGTAAAAGATAAAAATAATTAAATCTCAAGATATTTTTAATCATTCAATATATATTTACAATTCTTTAAATATGTGATAATGTCAAATCATTTCATTTCTGTTGAAATGTTTCTAAAACCTACTAAAATTTACTTTTTTTTTTCTTATAACAACCGACTATTGGAAAAGTTGTTCAAAAGTTTAGAAAGATTATTTATGCCTGCGTAAAGTGCGGGTAAATTACCTGGTACAAAAATAAATTGGAACTTCTCTACTATTTGTAAATGGTAAAACAAAATGGGAATTATTTACTATTGAAAGTAATTCAATGAGTTACAACATTCTCCTTGTTTTGTGATTCTTGTGATGTTACATAATGATCAATTGAATGATTGAATATACATTAGAGAGAAGGATAGTGAAGTATTCCTTTGGAAAACTTCATACTCTATTTACAACTTTTGCAGCATGAAACATACCAATGGCTTGTGCTTTGTCACCTTTATATTCTTCAAAAGCTTTATCAAGCACTTCCTAGACGCGCTTCAGCCATTTGTTTTGATTCATCGCAATTGGTCCAAAGGTCTTTCAATTCGCGTCTCACTGCCCCCAGTACCACACAAGTTCCTAGACGATAAAGGTTTTAAAACGATGAAAAAACTAAACAACAATTTCAATCAAGTGGTCATCAATTTTGTCATACCTAATGTGCATGGCACGAGATACAGGAGAGCAGGTTGACCATGTCCATTCATCAAAAACAAGCCCACATAAGTAATGCAAAGACCTGTACGGATTTTAGGTTGATTAAGGCGAGGAATGAACGAAATGCAGCATTAAAAAGGGAAAAAAGGAGGGAGAAAGTACAAGAATAAAAAAGAAACACGGAAAGAAAGAAACTCAGAAAGAATGATAGATAATCAACATGGTTCACACGTAAAAATCAGAACTAACATGTGGCGCAAATTCCATAGATATGTGCAGAATCATAAGCAGAGGTTTTATTAGAATAATTAGAGGCATTGAACGAAAGAATTGTACATTGGAGCGATAATCTCAAAATGATTTTCAATTATGAAATGAAGCTATTTCTGAATTTTACCCCTTTTTGTGGTCTCAAACAACTAAGAGCAGCAGTAACATATTAAGACAAAACGGATATGAAATAACACACTACAACAACAAAATATCCAGTATAACCTCACAAGTGGAGTCTGGATAAGAAATAACATAGTAAGAGCATATCAAAGCAGAAAGAACAAAAAGAACAACATATAAAATAAAAAATAAGAAGGAAGAAACAAAAGAGAGATACCCACCAATCCCATAACCAATCATCAGCCAAAGGAAGTATCCATTTAGTACCCCCTTCTTTTTAGCTTCATCAAATCTGCAAAAAAGATCGAGAAGGAGATCAACAAGAGGTCCAAATGGGATAAATCAGAAGTCAACTAAATCGCCATCATTCTGTAGAAAGAATGAGTGAATTTAGAGAAACTGGGCCGCTAAGTTGATTTGAAAACATCCTCTGCTGAATCCCACAAATATTTATCCAATTTTTGTTTTCCCATTTTTTAACCATTGTCATCGGAATGATTTGTAACCCTTGTAAACTGGAATAATTAGAGATGTTTGCATAACAAATAAGAATTTCCATTGAAACCTAGAGCTTCATATATCAAAACATTCATGACTAAATTCATATATACTCACTGTCCTTATAGATGCCTATAACAAGAATATCTTTAAGAACAAAGGTAGAGAATTGTAGGTTGCGAAATAGAAGTTTCTTATCATTTAATCGAGGTGATGTGCTAATCTTTACATTTCTAGAAGAGAGCAACAATTATCTTTGCAAGATGACTGAAGTGCAAAAATACCTGTATGTAAAGCAAATTAGCAAACCAGGGAAGAGAATATCCCCAAAGCCAAGCATATCAAATCCTTTATAAGGATCTGTTAATTTAGGAACTCTCAGAAGCATCGGGATTGATTCTCCACCAGCTTTCTTACCTTTAGCAACCTACAAGAGAGGCCAAATCCAACCACCCGAAAAATTAGTGACAGATACTGAAGAGCTAAATTATCTTCTGGTAAGAACTGTGTGGCAAGAAGCGAGTTTAACCCAGCTTAATAATGAAAGCATCCAGTTTTGAGCACATAAATGTAATTAACATATACCAAGAAAAAAACATTGAAACCATCAAAAGATAAAAGATGCATGTGTGCACATTTAAATCATACAGGTACATCTTTATGTTTTAAACAATCCGGAGCAGCTTCATTAAAATCATTACCTAGTTCCTGTGCAAAACAATCAAATAATTTTGTTGCATTTTTTAATGTTCCACAATCCACAACGACAAGATAAATATCCAAAAGTGTTCAATAAGGTTATTTAGCTGCTACTACTTTGAAGGTGTGCATTTATACATGTTGCAGGAAGGCAATGGCATCAGAGTAAAAGAAAATTTTAATGCCCAACATTAGTGGCATATTTTGAAAGAACAGAAACCAAGTAGAGGGAAGTTCTCCTTCCTATCTACCTTATAAAATGGAACTAGAAAAAGACTGAAACTTCATACAGACAGGTGGTATAACACCACCTGCCTGTAAAGGGGAACAATTTTTAATTTTCTAGAGATCAAAGACCAAAAAGGCTTCATGCTGAAAATATTAAGAGGAAGAAAACTGGGAAGAGATAATAGCATTCTTACCAAGTTAATACAAATAAATTACAAGATACACCTGTATATAGGTGTGAAATCCATATAATTAAGTGTGAGTATAATCAATAAAACATGGTGTATTAATGCAAAGCCGAACACATTCATTATGTTGATACCTTCCATTGCCAACCTCTAGCTTCTAAAAAGTACCATTTCTCAAAACTAAAAACAATAAAAATTTAAATTAATTTAACTTTCTTCATTTTCTTATACAAATCTTTATTTAGACATCTAACTCATGATATGATTTGACAAAATATCTACATCAGCGGTACAGCTTAAAATTGTAACTAAAGAGAAAACTTACTGAAATCATAACACTGTCATGGAATATAGCAGGAGATAGGAAAACCCAGAAGATGTCATAGACAAACGCGCAGCAGAGGAGCACTGTAGCAACCTAAAAGAGAAAGGAAATGACATAAATGAAAGGTATATTAGTAGACATAGGTAAAGCAAAACAAGAAATCAACTATGTTCACTGGTGAATTTTAAAAGCTATAAACACACCTTTATATTAGGCAATTGAGCCAACTGCAGAACAGTGATCATCAAAGCAATCCCCTGGCGAAAATAAAGTTTTCATTTACTTTTAACAGTTTTCAGCTGGAGTAAGTATCTAGAAGAGTGAGACTTGGTGATAAGGATGCATAAAACCAACTAAATATCCAACTGCAAAGAAAGGTCTATCACACAAACAGTTTTTCAGTTAACGAGGAAATTATAAAATTAGCTTACAAGAATGTCTTGGCCAACCCAAGAGTATGATTCTTTTCTGTTTACTGCCCAGAAGATGGCGAATCCCACACAAAGTGTTAGGACAACTAGAGACAGAATAGTGACCTCCCCAACAAGCGGCAAATTCAATGTTTTCTTTCCACAACCTCTAAATTTGCTGCTTAAAAGATTGTATGAAGCATAGTTAAGGATCTAATCAGAAATTCTGTACATAATATGAAATAGACATAATGGGTCAATACATCATACCTTAGTATGAGCGTCACTATACAGTTATGCAGTCCCTGGAAAGAAACAAAGAATTAAACAATAAAAATTCAACAACCAGAAAAAATGTTGACCAAATGCAAACCAGAATTAGTTTTGCTCCAAAACGTAGAAAGTGCATATGTTGCACAAATCAAGCGTAATCAAAAGTAGTCAGAATTTAGGTAAGTAACCTCCCAAGCACCATATGTTCTTGCGCATATCAACTAACAGAAAATGGAAGCTAACTAAAGCATATGGATTTGCAAGTTCATATATTAATCACAATTACAATATTACATCTATAAGCAGATGGAAAGGTTAACCTTTCAGAAGATTATGGAAGGCACAATTATCATGGAAAATGCATTTATGACTCAAAAGGTTGGCAAAAATCTACTGTTCCTACGATCTAAAGTTAGAATCATAGATAACATAAGGTCTTTGATGCAGCCAGTATATTTAAGCCTAATACACCTCATCAGCTGGTGCATTCCCTTGACTTTGCGGTTAAGAAAGCATAGCTCCATGACAATGTTACCCATAATGATCCCCTACCATTAATGAGCTTGATGAGTGCAAGTACAATATTATTAGAGGGCCACTAAAAAGATAATATGAAAGAACAATATACTAGTACATCTCCATGGCAAGTGGGTGGGCCTACATAGGATGTTGTCCCAGTGTGTTATACCAAAATGTGAGAGAGCTGAACACTGGACGATAACCCTTTAATGATCAATTTGGACTTTTTGGTTGGAAAACATTATAAAACCTTTCTAAGGAGAGGAAAACCTTTAAATAATTGTAAGTCTATATCTATTTCCAAGCTCTACGTTTGAAGTTCGGGAAGCAATGATTACTAGTGAAGACTTGAGAGTTCCCTAGATCTGAAGAAAAAGTTGTTTTGATCATCTACTTTTTTAGTCATCATGGTATGTGATTGTATCCATCATCCAGGAGCTAACACTCCCTGTCCCAGAAGCTTCTTTGAATATTTTTATCAGGGCTCTAAGGCAGGGAGTGGGAGCATGACAAAAGATTTGTCCACTTGAATGCTAGATTAGACCAGCTATGAAACATTTACTACCGAAGCACAAAGTTGTATCATTTTCCTGAGTAGTTTTAGATTAGCAGGAAAAACTACTATAAACACGGCATGGAAAATATTGTAAGGAGGAATATTATAGTTCAGTAACATAATCATTCAAAAAATACATCAAACTATATATTATTAGGCATTGACAAACACATTTTTTCTAAAAATCTTTAGACATTATATTCCATTTTCTTTGCATACTATACAAACAGATGCATGATATCATTATCTTGCTCATTTGTCAGATACTAGATGCATGGCCCCAAACTATAACCTAATTCAACAATAAAGCATAAATAAGCAGTGCCATGAAATGAGATGGTTTTATCAGACCAAATTGTATTGGCTTAGACGAAAGAAGAAGGAGAAAGAACGAACTTGAATACCTCGATTCCACCGATACAGAAAAGCAATATCAGCAGCCAGACAAACCACGTGGACATGAAAAAGTAAAGCAGCACCAGAAATGTGGATGCTGAGATGACAAATCCAATAGCAGTCCATGCAGTAATGTGCAGAATTTCACTGTCATCCTCCTCCTTGACGGTCATATCATCATCCTGTAAGGTGACCATACACTTTTTAAGACATTACAGCTATTAATCAAGCAAGGCATCATTGGGTGTTATCAATATTTGACACAAGAATTAGAAGTAGGAAAACCAAGAAAGACATGTTCACAGTACGCTCATAACATACAAATATAAATCATAGATATAAATAGATCACTCGTTCAACTATATTTAAATCAGATCAACTAAGGTCATATATGAATCTTCAGTTCCATTCCCCGCTCTATTCGGGGATATTTCATACCAATACTAGATAATTTGTATTTTAACACAAACAAGGAGTTCCACAAAATTAGTGTGTTAAGATATGACAAGATTTATATTGATTAGGGTTTATTTAATTTTATTAGCTTGATTAGGGATTTAATAAGATTACATCTGATTTGATTTGATCTTGAATTATACACTTACCAAATTGTAAGTACTTGTAATTACTATAATTTCCAACTAAGCTTGAGGGATTGATCAAGCTTTTCTATTCCTTCTCATCCTCTTCCCTATTAAATATAGCAATTTTCAAAATTACACACCTTGCGACACTCTTGAGAATATTAGGTCTTCTAACACTACACCATTTCCACTCAGTCAATATATTGTAGCTCCACCAACCAAACAGGCCTTTAATATTTGAGTCGTGTCACCACAAAGATTGTCGACAGTTTTTGAGATCCTCCAAAATGGGAAAGACCTCTCCAATTTCTTCTCTGGATAAATATGTCTCTCACACACCTTTACCTTTGTCGTTAAGGGAAAAGGATCTATAGAACAAGCCATCTCCTCGATGTCAAAAGTTTTTCCATCAATCTGGCCAAGTATACTTAGAAAGCCCATTCTATTCCATTCCTTTTAAATTCTTGATTTACTGGATCCAGTTTAGCTTCAGCATACCTCTTTTTTCGCTGGAGATGCTTTGTAGGTGACACCCTATTATTGGTAGTGAAGGGAAAAATGTAAGCATTGCACTGGTCAGGAACTAAAGTATCCAAAGGAAGTATGTATCAAGGATAAATTATTTGGAAAAGCAAAGGGCAGAGTAGTGAAAAGATTACACAGACATATGTATGTTAACTTCTGGGGCAGCTCATGTGACACAGGCAGCTAAGTTTTGAAAGACCAACAACTATTATCAATTATGTTACCTAAAATCCAACAGCCAAAGTAAACTAAATTTACTACATTATCATCAAGATGCAGTGCTGAATAGCTTAGACAAATAGCCCAAACAAAATCAATGTTGAGAATGCTACTAACTGAATTTAAAAGAATATAAGAAGCTGAGCATGCCAAATTTGAGATTATATCAGACAGCTTTTTTTTTGTGTGTGGGGGGGGGGGGGGGGGGC